GTTATAAACCATATATTTGACATCGAGACTTTACTAGACTTTACTAAAATTATAACAGTTTTTTCGACGTTTTTTTTCACCTTTAAAATAGAGATACTACGTAAATTTAATAATTGCTCTACTTATCATACTTGTCGCTATACTCTTCAATATACTTGATGCGACACAAAAAAATAATGATATGATCAAATATTTTACTATATCTTTACATTCTATCGTCTTTGGAATTCAACTTTTCTGGGCAGGAGTAGAAGCAATACGAGAGAGATCTGATAAGAAAGTACTATATTATGTATTTACTTTTCTTCCTATATTACTTGGTATTCTTCTTCCAATATTTTTAGGATTGTTTCTTATTACACCAACTGTCGCAATAGCGTGGGCGGGGGTTGGTGTATTAACTTCCAATCTCGCAAGAGATTTTTTTGAATTACATGTAGTGCCGTAGTAAGCAAAAGGTTAATTAATATCTGATATCTTCTTGCTTGCTTATTGCGAGGTTATAGGGAGGCGTCCGCCATACTTTTTGCTTGCATAACGTATGCCAATATTCAAGTTTACTTACCTGATTCACTTTTTTGGCTTCGAGCATATGGGCTTAGAGTCTCTAGTAGCACGGTATACCCACTTACCTTGACCCATTAAAGTATACCGAAATTTTTGTCACAAGTTGGCACTAGATGTCACTGGTTGTTTGTAGGTACTTGTGACAGAACTTGTGACGCTTGTTTGAGAGGTTTGAACCTTTTCATTTCTTTCTTGATTACTTCTTTATATCTGTCACAAGTAAAATGGTAGAATTCTAAGGAAAAAATAAAACTCTTTCTATGGTATACCTTTGATATGTACCCGATAAATATATAAGATATATACCTGATACCAACCTACTATATCTATGCCCGATACTTACCTATGATATATACCTATGTTATATGCGCATATACCTACCTCAATATATACTCGAGCTATGTGTGCTATATCTACTATGATATATACCTGATACTTATAGAAAAAAAAAAGGTAGGAGTCGACAAATTAACCTAAGAAACTTGTGACAGCTATCGAGAACAGTTTTTTTCGAACTCTGACTCTCAAGAACCCAGCTTTCTAACGATTTTTTTACTTGAGACGAACTCGTGACAACTTGATTGGACTATGTCTGCATACTCACTCGCTATGTATTTTCTCCAACCATTACAAAAAATCTATCTTGTTGATATCGAGACATCGCCAGATCCACGATGGATTACAATAATTTGTGGCAACCAGACTAATTTATTGAAAGCTTTTGCCCTCTGTTTACAAGCTTTTACCCCCGACATCCAACTCGGTTTTAGCGATCCTGATTATGATTGGCCTTTTATTATTGAAAAAGCTAATAGTTTAAACATTCTTGAATGGATGTGGAAACAAGTATCGGGGGGGGGTTATATCGAAAGAATGGTGAAGAGATTTTGCGCTATGATTACTATGGAGAGATAGGCGAAAATTCCAATAATACTTTCTACAGCAAATCCAAAATAAATAAACGAGAGAATGAGAATGGGGATGAGGATGTCGATAAGAGGGGTTTTTAAACCAAGGCGGTTAATATAAAATTAATACGGATCAGGAATTCAGATCTATTTTTCTAAAAATACCAGGATGTGTTCCAATCGATGTTCGTGTATCTTTCATGAAACTTTATCCTCGATCAGAAGTAGGAAAACGTAGCTCACTGAATTTTTATTTAAAAGAATGTGGGCTCGTGGGCAAAGTTGATATGTCGATACCCGCCATGAATAAAATTTATGAAACTGCGAATGTGGAGGGGATGCGTAAAGTATCTGAGTATTGTATTAAAGACGCCTTGAGTTGTCAAGAACTTATGGTCAAGCGTAATATAATCAATGATTATAGAGAAAAGGCATCTATTGCTCATATTCCTCTATTTGATGATTATGCAACTTACGGGCTTGGATGAGAAGTATAAACGAATTGATAGTTATGCTCAAGGAAAGCTAAGAAATGGCTAGAGTTATATATTAAGGAGATAAATAAATCACTACCCAAACGATAGCTAATCGTGGGCATGCCTACAAACGTGCCCATAAGGAAGCAATAAAAAAGGAAGGATGATGTTATCTAAAAAGATAGGAAATATATACGAAGCTCGCCAAGGAGATTGTATTAATTATGAACACTTTATATGTGGTGATCCAATTTCTGTAATATAGGAGAATTTAGTAAAGTATATCAAAACAATAAAAAGAGAGGAATTAAAAATCAAGAAAGGGGTACATATAGAAATTCTGATTGAGCCAGATATTATGTATTCTATACGTTCTAATCTTGCAGAGCACATTAGTAGTGTTGCAGAAATCGCTATAATATACAATCTATTCTTCCATCAATTAGTATATCACATGCGATATAAAGAACATATTACCATTCCTGACAAAATCGGTGCGTTTGAGACTATGAGAAATAATTATTGAGCAACCAACTTTACCTTATATCAAAAGCTGAACAAATATTACTTGAAATTTTTCAAAATACGTGCGTGGAATTAATCGGTTAACATATTCTATACATCATGTGAAGTGAAGATATAAACTCAAAGGGTCATTTTCCTGTAATAAAAAATGATATACAGTATATTAAGTCTTGAGATAACACGTCTACAAGCACTATCAATTACACAGGACCTATATTGTTAAACAATCTTAGTTAGAATTGTCACACCCTACTAAGATACTTATACATTATTAATAATATTTTTTCGTATATAAATAAAATCCAAGTTCAAACAGATAGTTTTGTTATCCAGCCCACGCATCTCACAACCGTTCATTTTTCCTCTCCAATCCCCATGTACGTCTCAATATCACGAACCATATAACTGCAATAATTAACAAGGTAAGAAAGATATTGATATATGCCGATAGAGGTGACATCAAGTACTTGCTACAACAGGGATCGCTTCTATTCCTCCTACCGGAATCTGAGGATGTGATTCAATCAATGAGGACATATATGCTTTATCACTAGTTCCGCTATTATTTTCCCATTGTGCAAGGTGCGGAGTCACATTCCCAGATATAATCTGTGATACATTGATTTTATCGATGTATCTAGCATATTATCCTTGTTAGTTTCGCTAATATTAATTTCACCCACCTTAGGGTTATTCTCGATATCATTTTTTAGTAGTTCGGTAATCTCATATTGGTATGTGCTGGAATATTATTTCGACTTGATCCATATTTTTTTGCGTATAAATATTTACTGAGACTTTTATTAGAATCGCTAACCGCAGAGATATTACTAGAATCTGATATTGAACTTTGTTCTTCGCTTTGCATGTTTTTTTCGATATTCCCACCAATTACAGATCGAGATATATCCTCCAATTTTGGACGCCCAAGCTCACTAACCGTTGAAGCTAACTCTTGTTCTAATTCAACTATTTTAGATTTAAGGGATATTATTTCGGATTCTTTTTTGACGAATCTTTCTGGATCAAAAACACATCCTTTTGTGCCGATATCTTAATCATAAACTCAAGCAATCTAATTTTGTAACATTCTCAGCCTTGGATTCAGCAATAAAAATACCCTTTTGTGCATTATGAGAAATAAGGTTAGTATTTTTGTTTTGTAGTTGCTTACGTTCATTAATAACCTGCAAAGCGTGGGTGCGTAACTTTTGGATCTCAGTATTATTTTGTAGTGAATCCCGATTCCACTCCTTTCTTTCTCGATCAAAAGCCCTCACTCGCTTTATGCATTTATCCTGTAATTTCTCACTAAGATTATTAATTTCGGCTTTGGATTTGATAGCATCGTGTATTTTTTTTTTCCAGCTCTTGTTCACATATACTACCAAGTCGATGGCCTTTAATATTTTGCAATGTATATACATTAGCCATTTAAATAATAGATACCAGTAAATACTATAGAGCTGGATCGACATATTTATTTGAAGAGGCGATTAAACATTTCAGAATTTTATTTTTCATATATCTGTATATCTTTAAATATAATAAAACATTTCGTAATATTCTGGGATATTTGTATATTTTTCATTATATGTCAACTATTATATGTATAACTAATATTCAAACTTTTCTTTATATGTGAATATGGTCCGGTGCAAAAAGATAGATACCTCGAAATTGATCGCTATCAAATCGCCTAGTTAAAGCTGTGTGCGACT